AAAATAAATACCTGAAATTTTTCAGACACAAAAATGTCTACCATCATTTTCAGACAGAAATGGTGGTTGAAATTTTCAGACATTAGTCAGACTTTCAGACACTTTTGAAGATTCAGACGTTTTTTGCCATCTGCCATATTAAATTCAGATGGTTATCAGACACCTAGTTTTTACAGTGGATGAGTCAACTTTTCAGGCATGAGAAATATCTTAAAAATTAATGTTTGAATGGACTTTGTCGTCTGAATCAGGTGAGATATCTTACTAGTGAAATGTTTGAATCGCTCATAAATAACTGAATTTCAGACAGAAAATATCTGAAAATAAATACCTGAAATTTTTCAGACACAAAAATGTCTACCATCATTTTCAGACAGAAATGGTGGTTGAAATTTTCAGACATTAGTCAGACTTTCAGACACTTTTGAAGATTCAGACGTTTTTTGCCATCTGCCATATTAAATTCAGATGGTTATCAGACACCTAGTTTTTACAGTGGATGAGTCAACTTTTCAGGCATGAGAAATATCTTAAAAATTAATGTTTGAATGGACTTTGTCGTCTGAATCAGGTGAGATATCTTAATAGTGAAATGTTTGAATCGCTCATAAATAACTGAATTTCAGACACAGAAAATATCTGAAAATAAATACCTGAAATTTTTCAGACACAAAAAATGTTTACCATCATTTTCAGACAGAAATGGTGGTTGAAATTTTCAGACATTAGTCAGACTTTCAGACACTTTTGAAGATTTAGACGTTTTCTACCATCTGACATCTTAAATTCAGATAGCTGTCAGACACCTGGTTTTTGTAGTAATTTTTCGCTCATTTCCATCAGCTCTTTTTTCATTTTCTCGAGATATGAGGTGAAGGAACGCGAATTGTACGATGCAGAAGGAGTTTACGCCCCCTCGCTACTTGATATAACGGTCGAAAACGCAATTTCCATAATTATCCCACGATGGAATATCGAAACGAGGAAGCAACGCGATCCCGCGGGACTTGGTTCGTCGAGACGAATAACGTACAACTGGGTAACAAAGACGAAATGCATATAGATAGCCTGCATTGCCCTTCGTGAGATTTATTCTCTCACCGGGGGGCAAGAAAAAACGATAAAAGAAGGAAAACAATTGAACGAGAGGTAAGTAAGGGCGAACGAGAGCCAAATTGTAGAGTCTTATTCGATGCAGAAGCACTGGAGCAGATGATGCCTCTCAGGAGTTTCATTTTTCAATTTGTCCGATGCTCGTCTCCCGGCATGTTTGCAGAATTCATAAGGCACACGGCGAATTAACTGCGCGATAGGAACTTTTCTCACTGACATGTTGTTTATCAAATTCTTGATCGATTGACGTATCAATTAGAATCTTGTCTCGAGAAGCCCGAGCGAAACGAATCCCACACTTGATCCTCTATTTAACACGCTCGACTACTCCCATCAGCACCACTGGAGAATTCACATTCGTTTGTGTACCTCACACTTTTCATTTGACTTTTGGGATCAAGAGTTCCGCTCAGCGGTTGAACAACTCAATTGTTGTAATTAAAAGAATATTTTCAATTTATTGCGAGCTTTTTAATTTGAGGCTAGGGTAAGCTACCCAGTAGATGGACACTGCCCTATAGATGGACGAGCTACTTTTGGATAGGAAATAACGCAAAAAAATACTGAAATGTGAATTGTTGCTTTGAATTTTCACTTACTGTTGTTATTCTTAACCCCCGAGTGACGATTTTTTTTCGATCAATTTTTTTTTTTCAATTGCTAAAAACCAAACGTCCATCTACTGGGCGGTTTTCTTAGGTGTCCATCTACTGGGCAGTTTACCCTATTTAGTAATTTACTCATTTTTTTTAGATATTTGTCGCTGAAAAAAAATTGATTTGATTTGATTCTCGAATGTTCACGTATGAACACTTTGTAAAGCACCCCATGCTATTGGAGTAACATGGATCTCCAGTTGAGCATTAAATAAATGAATAAATAAATGAATAAATAAATAAATTAATTAATTAATTAATTAAAAAACACTTTTAATTTATTCTTTTATTTAGAACTCGCAGTAAATTTGAGGCTATTTAGTAATTTCCTCATTTTATAAAGATATTTGCCGCCAAAAAAAAAAATTTTTTGGAAAATTTCTGTAATATATTTTAGGAATTTATTTTTATTTAATTGTGATTTGATTTATATCCTAAATGCGTTTCTATAGAGTGCGTTCGATATGGAATTAAAGTAGCTCTACCCTTACGGTAAATTTAGATTATTGAAAACTGCAAAAAAATTGCAGAAAACTCGATTAGATTCGGAATTATAATTTTTTTCTCAATTTAATTATCGTTTTGGTTTTTCAAAGAAGCAATGTTTAAAAATCAGGATTTACCCCAGTGTCTTCTGTGAAAATCAACATTTCCATTGTAATCAAAGATTAAAATCTGAATTTTTGTTCATTAAATGTGGAAAAATCAAGAATTTTTGTGACACCTCATAGAAAATAATCCACCGTTTTGCAAACAAGTTTTATTATTTATTTATAAGAGGGAAATGTTTGAAAAAATATCAATATCTTGCGAAATTTAATTTAGATAATACTGGCTGGGTATGAATTTTTTCAAATTTTTTCCATGCAATTTAGTTGGAAAATTAAAAAATTGAAAATATCAAAAAGTACAGCGTAGCCCGGCCGAAGGGTAGAGCTACTTTAAACTACTCCTGAATACACCCCATGCTATTGTAGCAACATGGGCCTCCAGTTGAACATTGAATAAATAAATCGATGCACGAATTAATTAAAAGGACGCGGAGAAGATGATTTGGTGAATTTCACCAACTGGTTGGTAATTCATTTTTTCAACTGAAAAAAAAGAATTTTTGTTGTAGGGGAATTTAACAACTATTTAATTAAAATCTAGAAAAAGATTTTTCAATTTCATTCGACAACAATTTATTAAATTTTCAATAAACCTTCGGCGATTTATTTGTTGCATCAAATTTAACAGGGAATTGTAGATTATTGCGAAAACATCTCCTAGGGGAGACATCGATCGATTGTCAAGATATAAACGATTGCGGGATTGTTTCCAAATCTATATATGCCCTCACCATCTAGTTTGCCGGCAAAATTGATTGAACGAAATTGAAAAATCTTTTCCGAATTTCAATTCAGTAGCGAAGTGGTAAACCGGTATAAGTCGATTTTGACTGTTGGCCAGTTTTCAATAAATATCTCGGAATCTACGGGAAATAGCGTAATTGTTGTAATTTCCTTTTTTGTAGCTCTCAATTTGCTCTACAAAAAAGGTTTTAACGAAAATTTTGCCATTTTCCTTAGATTTTCAGATATTCATTGAAGACTGGGCAATAGTCAAAATCAACTTATACCGGTCTACCACTTCACTACTGAATTAATTAGTTGTTAAATTCCACCAACTAGTTGTTAAAATTCACCAAATAATTTTCTCCATGAACATTTCAATTTACTTCAACTTTTTATATTTGCGGCGATTCAGTAATTTGGTCTTTTTTTCAGATATTGTCTCTCGATTTGATTGATATGATCGAACAACGACGAATAACTTCACGCGAAAAAACATCAAATTCAGTCGAATTATTAGGGTGGGGTAAAACGGACACTTTCGACTTTTTTAAAATTATTCATAACTCAGAAACAAATTTATGAATTGAGTTCAGTTTAGGCTCGCCACAAGGGGAAAGAACTGTCAGTAGCGAAACGGTAAACCGGGTTAAGTCGATTTTGACTATTGGCCAGTTTTTGACGAATATCTCGGAATTCAAAAGAGATAGAAAAATTTTTCTCATGACCTTTTTTGTAGAGCCAATGGAGGGTTATAAAAATGGTAATGAGAAAAGTTTTGCTATCCCTCTTAGATTCCGAGATATTCATCAAAAATTGACCAAAAGTCAAAAGCGACTTAACTCGGTTTACCGCTTCGCGCGCGCTGATCTATTCATTTGTTGAAATGAAGAAATGGAATTCATTGAATTTCATTTTCTCATGAATACCTCATAAATATTGACAATGAATCAAAGAGAATTCGACTAATGATTGAAGTGAATAGCGAAGTAGAGTAAAAGAATCTATAAAGAATTTTTCATTTTCAATTAATGATCTTCAATTTTTTAAAATAATCGGTCTCCATAAAAGGCCACAATTTATTAATTTCACCGATAATATATATACATGTGAAATATATATATTATATATATATATGCCGTGAAAAAAAAATTTACCTCTGAAGAATTTGAAATTATGTCACTGAAGAATGTGAACATGCCGCGTGTTTTTTTGTGAATAACTTCATGTCACATATTGACCAATCAGAATTAAGGATTAGCGGTCAGGCAGTTTCGAGATATTTCGATATAAAACAACTTCACGTTTCGTTCATCTTTAGTATGTTCTTTAGGGGAGGGTGGGGTAAAATGGACACTTCAGACTTTTTAAAAATTAACCATAACTTAGAAACAAATTTATCAATTGAGCTCAGCTTAGGCTCGTCACAAAGGGAAAGAGTTGTTCTATGTATTGAAAAAAAAATTATTAAATTTTATCAACATTTCAGCTCCTCATTAACATTTTAAGAAAAGTCAAAAGTGTCCGTTTTACCCCAACCTCCCTACTCCCTTTTTTGTCAAGCCAAATCCTCCGTCACATAATTTTCGATTTCCCATCACAGTCCTTTGACACAAGCCAAAGCCCAACCCAAACCCTAAATAGGAAGGGTTACGAGGGAAAAAGACATTGCAGAAGAGAATGATGCATTTTCCTTTTGTCGCAGTACCACGTATATTCGTCCTGGTAACATTTCTCGAGAAGTCACGTATACCCTTTCGTATATGCTCGCCGAAGGGGGGGCCGAGTCGGTGGTTCGAGTGAGCCGAGCGCCGGCGAAAGTAGCCGAGCGTCAAGCGAGAGCCGGTTGTGTTTTTACCTGCGGCCGAACTCCCCTCAGTGTCGCGTCAGTCCTCGATGAAATTGGTCAGTGATCTCCAGAGGAGCAGGACCCAACTCGCTCACGTTTGTTTCCCCCGACAGTAATCGTTTAATGCCAAATAAATAAACAATAACGATTGACTCGTGTGTTGGGGTATCGATGAACGGTGAAATGGGTTTTAATGAGTGATTTTATTGTTATGCTTTTGTGGTGAATGATAATCCTTCGGTTTCTGGAGTGGACTGATTACATTCGGAGCTCCTGGACCCGTCTCCGGGGCCTCTCGACCAGTATCTAGGGTGAGTACCTTATCATTACTCTTCACAGCAATGAATTTTATATTGACAAAATACGAGGGAAAACCGGGGGAAGCCAGTGCCTACAGAATTGGTAGTGGAGTAAACTTGTTTCGAACAGTGCTCTGTGTGCTACGAACGTTGGCGCGGCACCGGTTTCCCGAGAATTCACTGACCGCCATCCTTGGGATTTAAAAAAAAACCTAAAAAATGGCAAATACATGAAAACCTCCTAGAATCGAGTTTTTTTATTTCGACATTGTTCTTATATTATTATGCGGTTCACGGCGACGGGGGGAGGGCAAAAAATCTTTCAGCCGTTCAAATAGGGGATTCTCAACATGGTTTACGTACTTTTGACATTCGAGACGGTGGTTCAAGGACGGTGACGTGCTAGGGGTCTGTGCACTTCGATGTTCCCTCGATATAAATGCACATACGAGATGCGATATGAGTTTTCCGTAACGTTTGGGTTTTTTTAGGTTTTACGTTGGCCGGGGGAGGGGGCGAGGGGATGTTGGGAGTATCTGGTGTTCTTGACCTACTGGGAGAGTCATGTCAAGAGTATTTGGGATTTTTAGAGGAATGAGAATATCAGGAGCGAAGTGGGAAAACTGTTCAAGTCGAATTGTCTCGCAGTTGAGTTTTTGGAGAATATTTACGAATCTGAGGGAGGTAGCGAAATTTTTGTCAGGACATTTGTTGTAGCTCTCAATCGGCTCTACAGAAAACGTTATCACAAATATTTTGCTATCTCCCTTGGATTCCGAGATATTTATTGAAAACTGGCCAATAGCCAAAATTGACCTGTACGGTTTTACCACTTCGTTACTAATATAGATGAATATATTTTATAGTTTTTATAAAAGTGAAGTTATTGATAGTTTCGTGGGAAAATGGGGTATGGGGAAAATGTAGGGTGTGCACTGCAGCACTTTTAATTTATTTTTTTTCAACGACGGAACTTGAAGGAATTTTGGAATTTAAAATTTCATGGCAAAATCAGTTTAAATCGAATGTTTTTATTAAATATTCGTGTCAGTTGAGAAATTGTGGTGCGCGTGTTGCTCACAATTGACAATTTCATTAAATTTTTAGTTGAAACTGGAACTTTATTATGTTTTTCTTAAATGGAATTCTATTCCATTCACCTGAAGATGAATCAACAATCACCGTTACAAATTTTCGGGTGAAATTTTTATCACATTGAAATTTTTTCTGTTAAATGTAGGGGAGGTTGGGGTGAAGTGGACACTTGACTTCTTTAAAAATGTTAATGACAGGTTGAAATTGTGATGAAATTTAATAATTTTTTTTTCAATGCAAAGAACAATTCTTGCCCTTTGTGATGAGCCTACACTGAGCTCCATTGATGAATTTGTTTCTGCGTTATGAGTAATTAAAAAAAAGTCTAAAGTGTCCATTTTACCCCACTCTCCCCTACTATTGAATTTTCAATTGGATTAATAAAATTTATAATATTCCTTAAGATATTGCTATAATATCATCAACACAATACATCATGAAGACTTAAAGATATTTGTTAGCAATTAATAATTAATTTTCACGTTCTTCTTCATTGCTAAGAAAAAGAATGTTAAGATTTTTTAATGCAAGAATTAAAAATATTTGATGAGTAATTAATAATTGATCTTTTGATTCCTTTTGATTAGGAAAATTGAATGATGTTAATCCTCAATAATTTGTAATATTTCTCAAGATTTTGCTGGATTAATAATGAAACAAATCATCAAGAATGAAGAATATTTGATGAACAATTAAGGATGTTTATCCAAAATTGCAACTATTCAAACAAATTGATTTTTTTTTCAACTGAGAGATGAAGTTATTCTCTTCATCTTGATGAAAATTTCAATCCACCAAACCACGTTTATTATTTAGAAATGGAGTGGACAAAATGCACCAAACGCATGCGCTAACATGCGCTTATATGAGAGAATCTTTCAAATATTTCCTCCTTTTGCGCGGTACCCCAAATTTTTTTCTGGCCATTCCACTGAGTATAGTTTTGCACATTACCTTCTATTTTTATTTCTATTTTTAGAGTCTCGTAGTAGGTGAATTATAAATTTCAACATAAATCCCATAAGAGCCCGTGTACAATGAAAACTTTGTTTATTTATTTCTGGCGAGACTTGCGATTAATTTTTTCAACATCAAAGAAGTTAGTTTCATATGTTCTGCTATCAGCCAAACAAATTATAGAATTTTCCTTGAACATGAAAAGAAATCGGCTAAACATCCTTAATTGAAAATTTAGAAGAATTTGGTTTGCAATATTCATGTTTTTATTGAATATTCAAGTAAGGATATCAAGTAAGGATCTTCCTGCTATATCACTGTCCCCCAAAATCATTAGTCAACTGCACAGTTGAAATTTCTTCACTCAAATTTCAATTTTTTGGAGGTCATTATCAGATTCTCGTTATTAAAAATTGAAAATCCAGTAGAAACTGTGAATTTCCGTTCAACTACTCCACAAAAGTGGATAAAAATCCGGAAAATTACCCGTCCGGAATCCCTGCGAGTCCTATCAAGCACCAATTTCTCACCCATTTCTTTCCACAAAGGACGATCCCCCCTCCCCCCTCGAATATTGGATTTTAATTGGGATCGAATCAGTTATACTTTGACATGATAATTGGATCGAGTGGGAATTATTATTGCAGGTCAGCGCTCTCATTGGAAGCGTGTATTTCACTCCGATAAACACAAATGAAAGGCAGTGGTTAAGTCCCAGAGTTTTCCATACTTTTTCCCCTGGCAATCGCCCTCCACGCTCTTTTTTCCTTTATTGTTCAAAGCTGATAATTAATCTGGTTCGGTCGAGTGTTGACACAGTAGATTTATTTCTTATCGAACCATTTAGAACAGTCAATCATCATCTCTAACCGCTCGCTTTTCATGGCTTAGTACCCAGCGTTTGATATATTCCATTGTAATTTTCCAAGTGATTATTTTTCATTCAAATTTCAAAAGAGCCCTGAGCATACCATTGGCAATTATTCCTCAATTGCAGTGGAAGGATCAACCTCTTACCCAACAAACGATAATTTTTTACGAGTGTGGTCATCTAATGTCTCAATTTTTTCATTCCTCCGGTAGGATATAGCATCTTGCATCACAAATCGACGAGTTTATTTCAGAAGCAGACGTTGATAATCAATAATTGGATTTGTGCAATCACGTGGAATGAAATGGAGGAAGATGCATCAACTCATTCTAAATTGTCCGATGAATAAAAAAGGGAGAAAAAATTTCAGGTTGTGCTCTAATTCGATTGCTGCAAGGGTCTCTCATTTCTCGCTCTTCAAATTGATTGTCGCCGTCTAGTAAAAAGTAATACAATGGTACTACTATTGGCTGATGGAGGTAAAAAGCCCGGACACTTCTTTCCCTCGAGTTTGTTCTCTCCATTTTCTCCCTCTCAGTCACGACAACTCGTTTTTTTTATCACTATTCCCCTCGTTCTTGAAATATTAATTAATAAGCTTTCCGGTTTTTTCGTGCGGACTTTCCATTCTTCCTTTATAAATGCTAATTAGCCAAGTAGAAAGTTGAAATTTGTAGTTATTAATTAATCTTATTCGTTAATTCGTCATTCGAGCGGTGCCGCTACTATCGTCACTTTCTGAGAAAACAAATATTTTTCCTCAAACAGGTATTGTTTGAGGGAACAAAAAATCGCGAGCTTTTAAATCATCGTGTAAGAATCAATGATAGAACAATGACATTTCATTTGATGAGAAAAGGTTCTTTGCTTCCGAATGGAAGCATTGTAATCGGTCAAATTTATGTTTTGGATTTTTTGTGTTATGTCGACACATTATGATGCAAAAAGTGCAAACATGCAGTTTCTCGCTAATGAATCGATGTAATTCAATTGTTTTTTTCTTAAATGAAGGTATCGCCAAGCCCTATTCATCGCCATAAATCAAAATTTAATTCATTGATTCATTTTTTCAATTTTCGATTTTTTTCTAAATTTAGTTGTAACACGATAACTGAAAAAATGTTCTGAGTTCATTGAATGGCGGCTTAAAAAATTCGTTGGGATGTCCTTTTGACCGAGTTCGAAGATGAAAGCGATAGCAATAATCGTTATTTTGATTTCTGTGAAATTTTTCCAAAATTTCGTATTTTTCGAAAATCAGAATTCCGCAGATATCTGTGGATATTGCGCTTGAAATGAATTTAATCATAGCTTAATATGTTTGTTTCTATGCGACTATATCGAAGTTAGGAGATGGTTACAATAACTGTCTCGGTTGATTTGATTTTTAGGATAATTTTTAGAACTTTCGAATTTTTCATGAATTCCCCGGAAAACTCGCTTTCTGATGGTTCCTTCAAATGTGATGTTTCGAATGCATTCAATTATGTATAAATGAAATATTCTTAATAATATTTCATAGAAATTTTCAGAAATTTTTGGAATTTCATTGCGTGGAAAATCTAAAACAATTAGTTGGAAAAAAATTAATTCAACTCAAGAAAATAAAATGGGCTATGAATAATACACAATGGAAAGAAATAAGCAAAATAACCATTGGGAAGCATATTGCTAATTTATTAACAAAAATAACTACACTATACGCAATACAGGAACAATTTCCCTCTTATTATATCAATTGCTCTCTTTAAATTTTACAATGAAATCGGATCAATAGTTATTGAGGTATTGAATAATACAATTGAATCGTTCGATAAGCCTCTAATGTTCACGTTCACATCAATTTTATCACAAAATTCAATTCAATTATGTACAAATGAAATATTCTTAATAATATTTCATAGAAATTTTCTGAAATTTTTGGAATTTCATTGCGTGGAAAATCTAAAACAATTAGTTGGAAAAAAATTAATTCAACTCAAGAAAATAAAATGGGCTATGAATAATACACAATGGAAAGAAATAAGCAAAATAACCATTGGGAAGCATATTGCTAATTTATTAACAAAAATAACTACACTATACGCAA